AAGAAACATTTCTTTGCGACCCTGGTGGACGCGGCGCGACTTTAGCAATCAGTTGGAGACAGCCCAGACCACGGTGCATATAACGCGACTTTCCAGAACAAGGCAGAGACGGCGCGAATTTCCAGACCGAGGCGGAGACGGCGCGATTTTTCAGACCAAGGCGGAGAGGGCGCGACTTTCCAGACCATTGCAGAGACGGCGCGACCAAAAATCAAAAGTCGCGTCGTCTTCGCAGAGACGGCGCGACCAAGGCGAAGACGACGCGACTTTCCAGACCAAAGTGGAGTCACAGAGTTTCGCAACCCATGTCCAGACAATCGTGACCAAATTTTGGTATGTCCAGACTTTCGCGACCCATGTCCAGACTTTCGCGACCAATTTTTGGTATGTCCAGACTTTCGCAGCCCATGGCGCGACTCATGTCTAGACTTTCCAACTCAAAGTCTCGGCACAACTATGCAATTTGGGTCTGAATCCGGATGTAGCGCGACCCTTAAAGTCTGAACATGAGTCTGGGACCTCGCTCGACCCGGTGAGTAATAATATTTTGCACGCTTTCCTTCGAGCATTTCATTCTCCGAAAAAAATCCCAAATGAATAGATCACACTAAATAGGAACAGCGAGAAATCAATGAAGTTTTTGCTCAAAAAACTTCGACAAAAGAATGCATCAAGCAAAGACATCACAAGATTATTTCCTAGTATTTTTATAGAAAGAGCTTGAATAACACATACTAAGACTTTAAGAGTTACTTCTTTCTCGGTCCAACAAATAACGTCCGAGAAACTTAGGTACAACAAAATTCTCTGAAATCAATTCTTTATGTGGACACCTTGATTTAAAAGTTTTTGAACCTACAAAACATAATTTTGAAAACCTTTCATTTTGCGTGGAAGCGAAAGGCAGATAAAACAAGAATATTCGTACATCAGTGCAAAGCCCTGAATGTTTTGATTGCACTTAGGGCTAATTTAAAAAATTTTGGTTATTTAATTGACAAAATAACTGGGGAAAGAAGTTTTTACATCGTTTCTTCATTTTATTCTCAGACATGCTATGCAAATCACAAAAGGTGTATTAAGCGCTCGTATTGTGATAATAGGATTAAGTTTCTGGCCTCAATTCAATTTAGAACCCATTAATTGGCTTATTACGCGTTTTATGTTATGGGTGTGCAATGTATTGCACTTAAATTATCCTGAGTTGGCCAAATTAGCAGTTTTCAAACGCCCGTAAATGATCACAGGTGAAAAACTTTTTTAAAGTTGAGCATAGAATAACAATAAATCTCAGATGCTATAAGAAATTCCGTCAAAAACGATTAGTTAACGATTCAAAAATTGGCTGAAAAAAAAACAAGTATATATATGTTACTCATTTTCTTTGAAAAACGGAACAATAATTATCCGATTAAATAATGAAATACGAAGAAACATCCAATACTACATATTAAGTTTTTTCGTATTCAAAACGTTAAGTGGGCTTAAGTAAAACGTGCGCTTAGTCACTTACTTGGAATTCTGAGTGTAATATACAAAAAAAATCTTATTAAACATTTATTTTTTGACAGGCTATATCAGCATTTTGAAGAAGAAGGCTACAAAATTTGCAGAAACAAAACAGCAAAAAAAGTAATTGCGACACGAAAAGGTTAAAATAGACAAACTGAATCATATTGATCCCGTGTTTATAATTACAATCAATGAAAACTTTTGTTGTTGCAACTTTCAAAAGTTATTCCAGCAGTCGACGTGTGGTCTTTTTGTTTCATAACAACCAATTTTGTCTATCAAAATGAGTTTATTACTAAAAATGTTTGTTCCACAATGAAAATACTGACTCCCCTTTTGCAATCATCTTGTTGCTTCGACTTTTGAGGAAAGTAAGGAAAGTATACGTTCAAGGGTTTATTATTCAGACCATTTTTCACAAAAATGTTACACGCGGGGGATCGAACCCTTCATTTTCGTATTTTTCGGAAGCTTGCGCTCACCACTAAAAAAAAACCTGAATTTACGGCCGCTGTGAATTTAATTTACCTAAGTTGCTCGTTTTATACTTTGATGCTGAAAGCGTAAAGCGCATTATTTATGCATGGCGAAAACACGCACGACAAATGCTATCTATCCTAATTGGATTGAGGCGAACTAATTGGTCTTATTAATTCCATGCACAACTCAAATTTACTGTCGACATAAGAGCAGTCTTGTCAACCTTAAGTTTTTAGTTTACAAACATTTTTTTAAACTAAAACTAATCAAGATCAGTTAATGGATTCGAGCAGTCCTTGTCTAATTTGGCTGTTGGAGAGTAAAACACAAAATTTAAAAAATTCTGTAATTTTTTATTTAATCTATTTGAACCACTTTACAGGTCAGATGGAAAATTTTAGAATTTTCCCTTTAAAAGCAGCCTGACTGGTTAAACAATGACGGCTTGCGTATTGCCAATTTGGAATTACAATTTTGCACAAGTTTTTCAAACTTCCTTTACGCATAGCTCAGTCACCAAATTGATCCGGCTAAGAATTCAATCTCACCACAAAAAAATTGAAATCACTCGTATACGTAATCTTGTTTAACTGATCAGCGTACCTTGTATAAATTCTAAAAAACTGAATTCAACTTAAACTTTTACATTTTGAGGTTTTAGTAATTTAGAGACAAACTGCCTTGCGACGATTCAATTTAGAGGTACTACCCCTAAATTGAATCGTCTCAAGTGAAATCGTCCTTTTTTTCCTTAAAGTCCAATTTTAAAATTAAACCTAAAAAAGTTGCATAAAGATTTTTTATCCGAAGTTTGAGTAAGGAATAATTAGCGGCGCTTTATTCTTTTGCTCGTACCCGTTGAATTTGGACTCGAAAATTGCGCATACTCATATCTACACAAACTCATATCCCTATAACTAACAAAAATGTCACAAAAGAATACTACCTGATGCATTGCTTTACCGGATCAACCATACAATTTCTCCCCTAAATCAATTTAGGGCAAAGAAAATATGGATTTGTCATGGGCTAACTTTTAGAAAAGCCTAGATTCATTCAAAATTAAGCATTTACTGAAAAAATTTGAATTGAAACTTTAATCTAAGCAATTACCAGCCTACGAATGCAACCCCGCATCCAAAAATGTAGAAAATTTTGTCTGCGCGATTTCATGAAATGCATAATCTATACAGAATCAGTTTTAATACATGGTTGGGTAGGGCATTCTACTTTAGCTCACTTAGGGAAAAGATTGTACGGTTGATCCGCTTTACCTTCGGAACACATTCAGCGGTTTGCACGAATACGAACAGTCGTTTTTTATGTCGATTTTTGGATTGTCTGAAACTGAATTTTATGTTATTTGTCAGCTTCGATATGAAAAAATGAAAAATGGCATGTGCTTTCTAACTCCGCTCTTTCTCCTTTACCCCCACCAGCAATTTTTTACAAGTAAAATTACTGTTCCCACCAACCGATTAACAAGAAAAGTGGCATCTGGACTAATCGGGCCATGACAAACATATTTGGTCTCCATAATTCAATTTGTAAAATCACTCAATACATCATAAAATTGATGCCCATACGAGGTGGGGGGAAAAAGGAAAAAGAACCTCTAACTCTAGAGAAGTGTGAAAAAATTGGACAGAAAAGATTAACATAAGAACAATCTGGCAGCTTTGAACAACTTTGCATGCAAATGAGTTTTCAGACAATTTTGAGGCATTAGTTTTGGTTGAAAAAAAAAGAGCTTTTCTATGCCGAAAAAGGCAAAATTTTTTGACTGTTTTTCTTAATTAGATCTGTCTGTCCGAACTTTTCTCAACTCCCACCAAGAATCAATCAAGTGCAACTTGAAAATTGTTCTATACTTAGTAGCAAAAAGTTCGGACAGACACATTTAATTAAAATGAGCAATCAGTTCTTTTCGGCGCTTTTTTGCATGCAAAATCTAAAAACAAACAACCTTGAATTTTTGTCAGACCAAGTTCAAAATGCGAGATCGTCGATTATCCGATGATTATGCTAGCCTAATATTTAAATACTGCGACGAACATTCAGATTTTGTTATCAAACAGTTAGCAAATTTAGTTAAAAAATCGAAATCTAGAGTTATTTTCAACAAAAAGAAAAAACAGATTAGGACGCCCCAAAAAACGGAAGTGAAGTTAATCAAATCAATTAAAAATTTGGAAACTAATCGCAAAAAAAACTTTAGCTTTCCCGAGTAATAATTGTCCTGTTTCAAGGTTTACTATTCGATGCTTCGGATGCAATTGCCCACCGTAGTTATAGGTCTTGAGCGATACTCTGCTTTATGAACTTTTGACGTTATTTTTTTTTCAGTTTTAATTTCCGTTGATGTCCAGACAGCTGCTCTTTTTAATTAAATCTGTCTGTCCGAACTTTTTGCAACTCTCTTAAGAGTTGCAAAAAATAGGAGACAAAATTAATTAAAGAGAGCAAATTACCTAATTCAGAAAACTTTTGCATGCAAAAGCTAAACTTTCAGCAAGAAAGTATGACTCAAGGTCACCTAAAAATTTAAATTTGCATGCAAAATTTGTTTTATAATTATTAGCAAAAAGTTCGGACAGACAGAATTAATTAAAAAGAGCAAATGACCTTTTTCAGACAATTTTTGCATGCAAAAGCTTATTTTTCAGACTGAAAGTTTGTCTCAATGTCACCTAAAAATTCAAATTTGCATGCAAAAATTGCTCAAAATTGGCAGATTGCTCTTTTTAATTAATTCTGTCAGTCCGAACTTTTTGCAACTCTCTATAAAATGGCAGATTGCTCTTTTTTATTATTTCTGTCGGTTTCAGCTTTTGCTCTTTTTATTTTTTTGTCTGTTCCAACTTTTCATTTCTAATTATTCAATACTGTCTAAAACAGGTCAATGATTGATCTTTTTAATTATTTGAGTCTGTGATTTTGATTAGCTTTTTTCTGAAAATGAAAGTGTGTCTGGTTGCAAGGTCACACGATACTTTTACAGTGGTCTAATGAACCAAATGGAAACACCTCAACTGAAGCCGTCATTTGGTAACCAAACTGAGCTCCAAACAGTAAGGTTGACTTTCTAGTTCTGGACCAACTTCCAATTTTAGTGTGTTCTAAACCCAGAACGCTCTGTTACTGCAATAAAATCGATACAAAACTGCTATCGAATCGAATCTTTCTCGGAACACGAATAAAATATTTTGACGTTCAGTAAGCATGCTGCTTGAAGGAATTAGAGCGAGTTTAGTTCTGATTGTAATTTATGCTACAATACACGTGAATGGGGAGACAGAACCCATAGATATTATTCCGTGCAATGGCGACATGGAGTTCATACCTGGAGGCACCCCTGGATCCTGCTACTCGATGATGCCAGTGCTTTGGGGCAAAATGGACAACAGGAATGCGAGAATTTACTGTCTGATGGATAATAACAATGTCTTCTCCCTCCTCCCCACCCCTCAGACTCATGGGGAGTTGCAGCGTCTAACCGAATGGGCCATCAGGCAGGGTAAGAGTTATCGGATCTGGTCAACTATCACCCCACTCTGCAAAAGGGGGCAATTGGTTACTAGGTCCAAAATTGATGTTTGCTTCAGAAGATCTGGATTATCTGGTCCATTTAGCTTAGTTAGCAATACTTTTGCGATTAACCAAATACGGTCCAAATACCCCCCCCCCCCCCCCCCCCCCACATACAATCTCTGCAAAAGGGGGAAATTGGTTTTTAGGTCCAAAATTGATGTTTGCTTTACCGTTGAATTTTGTTTTGTAAAGGTGGAAATTCGCAACTAGGTGTAAGAATAAATGTTGATTGAATGAAATGCGTCGTTCTAATGATCTGGATTATCTGATTCATTTGGCTCAGTTGAATGCCCTCCAGTTGGCAATAGATTTGCGATTAACCAAATACAGTCCAAGAGCAGCAAATTAGTTGAATATACTGAAATGCAATAGAATTGCTGTATAGCGTTTAATTTTTCGGAAGTTTCAATTTTGAGCAATTAATAGTGCTTCGGATTCCGTATATTTCAGGAAATAGTGAAAAAACATAAAGAAAAGTTGGAACAGACTAAATTATTTAAGAAGAGCAAATTATTTAATCAGATAACTGTTGTGCTCGATATATACGTAAAAATATATTTTAATGCGGCAACTCAATGATTTTTATTTCAATTATGCTCAGTTTTATTTTATGCCAGGTTTGCCGAGGAGCATTGACCCCAATGACGACCCGGCCGGTTTCTGGCTCGGGTACTACCGTTTCCAACCAGCACCTCTGGAACAGCCGGGCGACCGCTACACTCCAGCTGTGAAAGCCATTAGGACAGACAAGTCTTTGTTCTTCGAGCGGGACCGAATCACATTCGCGATGCCGGACATCTGGCGACTGGAGAACCAACCGGGGGATATGGAAGATGAGCGGGACGAGAGATGTGTTGCAAAGAAGAAGCCAGCCAATCCCTATTTTATGGGGGCGGATGATTACGCTTGTGATAAGCTGCATTATGTTGTCTGTGAGAGTCCTCTCTGGGCGCGTAAGGCGGGAGCCATACTCCCTCCATTGTGATCACAATCTGATGCCATGTTGAATTTTGAAAATTTTTGGATATCGTCTCTAAACTTTTGAAATAGTTGTCCTCGAGCTAAAATTAGCTCGAAAGTTTCAATTTTGCGTTTGCTCAAAAATCCATGGCAGATCGTGGATGAGCTTGCAGTTGTGGGTTCAAAATTTAAAAAGAGAAGTCTGATATAATGCAATCGTGTTGAAATTTCTAATGCAACTTTGAAAATTCAGTTCAAACTTCGAAGCCATTGCACTACTAAGGCCTGAATGTTTTCTGTAGTTTGAGACGATGTCCAACAAGTTTGTCAAAAAGTATCAACCAGGAACTTTTAAACTCGGCCTTAAAGTAAATTGTAATAAACTTATCGCGAATTCGATTTCACGTGACTTAACTCAATGAATTATGGTTGAGATCCATTAACTGTTATGTAGAATTAACTTTGTCCTAAAAAGTTTCAAAATCTAAGGATAGGTCTGTCTCACTTTAGAGAATTACTTGATTAAACTCTTGAAATAAGAAAAACGTCTTCGGTTAGTTGCACTACAGGGTGTTTCATATAGATGTTAAAAAAAATACACCAATTAGTTTTACGATGAATCACTCTACAAAAAAAAAACCGTTCTCGGGAAAACCTGCCCAATATGAAGTCATTTTGTGCCAATGAGTAAAGATTTTCTCAACGTTTTTTGCGGTTTATCGGGTTTTCACAATTGTGCTCAACTGGCTCCTATATTGCTGATTAAAAACAACCGGTTATAATGAACTAATATTATTTAATAGCAGTATTTGGCCAAAAAACGACCAGGACAAGAATTGCTTACGATTTTTACCAGTTTTTTTATAGTGCAATTTTCAATGCAAAATTTTGAACCAAAATTACACCCTGAATAGTGTCATTTCATTTTGTTAAAATTTGACGAGGAGGTAAAAAGGGTAGCCTGTGTACTTTCTCAATTTTGAACCAAATGAAATGACATATTTAAGGGTGTAATTTTAGTTCAAAATTTTCCAAGAAAAGTTGCACCATGAAAAAACTAGTAAAACTCCCAAGCAATAATTTTAAACAACAATATAGGAAATAATTGAGCGCAAAATTCTGAAAACCCGCTAAACGGCAAAAAAACGTCAGCAAGTTGTTGAAATAAATGTTTGACCCAAGTTATTGAATTAAATGTATGACTCATTGGCACAAAATGACTTCATCTTGGGCAGGTTTTCCCGAGAAATGATTTTTTTTGTAGAGTGATTCATCGTGAAACTAAATCTGAAAATCCGTAGTTAGTTAGCATTTAGAAACTATCAAAATTGAAACAAAAAGACTTGTTAACCATTTACTACACAAAGGGCCCTTTGTTACTAATTTACGACAACCGGTGGTAGAGCCAAAACCCTAGAAAGTTTTCCTGGTACATCTTAAGCGTCAAAGTAAACAAAATATTATGGGCGCGTTGGCGGCAAAATAACGGCTTTTCTGACTTGAGGGCAATCTTATATAACGATATACGGTTTTGATAGTATTTTTTTTGGGACGATTTTTTTATTGATTCGCCCCTGATTAAAGAATGATTGCACCAGATACTTGATCAGATGTTTAAATTAAAAATGTTTGAAGCGTTGAAAAAACAGTCGGCTCGCGCACTCGGATTTGAGTAATTGCATTACGATGCCAAAGTACTGCGCTCTGAATAGGCGCACAATTGCGTCTGTATGTTCTGGATTCCATAGACAAATTTTTGAACATGTTAATTTGAACAAAGATCATGAACGAAAAGAAGAACAAAGAAATCCTCTTATAATTCAGAAAATGAACAGTTTGGCATCAAAATGTGGTTAACTTCGAGTTTCAAGCCAAAGCCAGTTTGCTCAGTAATCGATCTTTAAAATCAAATTTCTGTTTTCAAGAGGTTCTGAAAAAGCTTAAGTCCATTTTTGAAACAAAAATTTTCAGTTGAAAAAAAAAAATGAAAACGTCATTGTATTTTCGCTCAGTACCCGGATAGTTCGGGTACCAAAGAAAAACTTCATTTTTAATCCATGAAGAAAAAAAAATTAAGTAACTGTACTATTTAGCCGCAGCATCAAAACGAATGATTGTAAAATTAAAAGAATGTGTTAAAAATACATATTGGTTACATATAGTATAATACTGTTCACATCAGGGCGGAGAGCTGAATGTTTCGAGTGACTTTTGAGGTTTGTGAAGCAGTAATAACAAAAAAGAAGAAAATAAAAAATAAAAAAATTTTTTTTTCTTAAATTTGAAATTTTTTATGAAAATCATACCCCCACACGCCATATAAAGTTCAAAAGGATAGATTTCGCTCATTGTAACAAATCAATTATGGCAAATAAGCTTCTTTCAACCACCAACTTGGAACAATTTCTAAGACGAATTAAATCTCCGCTTACGCGTTAATAGCGCGAAATATATCGCGCGTTAATTGTCCCAAATTGGCTAAAATGGCAATCTTTAAACCCCCCTAGATTTACAAAAAAAATGGTCAAACAACTTCAAATTTAAGCTCAAGTCAACAATAGCTTCGAATGATATTTACAAAATCCGTCACAATGGCTAGTTCAAAAGTCAAAATTTGTCTGAAGAAAAAAAACCCACCCCGAGCACAAATATTGCGTTAATTTCGTATAGAAAGTCGGAACAATAACTGGCACAGTTAAGTTGCAAAACAATGTTTCCATATAAATCAAAACTTTATTACATTAAAATCATCAACTTTCAACATTTTTCAAACCAAATCTAAGCTAATTTATTAGCAGGCACGGAACCCACGCAAAAACGGAGCTCACGCCAGGTACTTACATGCGTACATAGTGGTTTAGATTGTGTTTAGTTAAAATTACCCTAAATGCGCTAAGGTAAAAAAAAATTAAGGTAAAATTTACTCTAACATTACCTTAACTTTACCTTAAAAAATTATTAAGATAAAGTTTACCTAACTGAATTAAAGTAATTTACCTTAACTTAACCTTAATTTTAACTACAAAATATAGGAATGAGTTTAACTAAACAGGAATAAGGGAATTTAAGATAAACATGGGATCTCGTAGTTTCAACTGTAATTAAACTCATTTATATTTTATTTTCGAAAGATTTAAGGTTATGATTTTTTTTCGGACGTCTTGATGAGTAGCAGTTGAGCAATGGTTGTCGAACATGAGTTTCTTAATGCGATGGTTAATTCTGAAACTTGTTGTCTGACTTTTTGAGGCATTTGCAAAAACTTTCTTTTCATTGGTAAGATATTGCTATAAATGTAATTTTGATAATTTCTGTTTTCAGTTCTAACAATTGACTTAGTGACTACCCACTATTTCCTTGGATTCTTTGCTGCTTATGTTTATGTTCTCACAATTAGATTACGCAGCAATAGTTTTTCTGCAAATAAACGCAAATTCAATGATGTCGCTACAAAGAAAAACAGCTGAACTGGGCTGTAAAATGCAGATTTTGAAAAACACTTAACATAGCTTTAGGGCGATAAACGTTTTTCTCGGAAAAAAGCAGTTGATAAAAGAAACAAATCAAGTTTTTTTGTTTTTTTGCCGTTATTGGCCTTTTTCCAATTGTCTGTTGGCTTTTTTCAATTTCAAGTTTCTTTGTCCAGACATGATGACATGTTGACATTTAAGTTATTGATACAGGTTTTCTCTTTATCTATGGGTCTTGTTGTTTTTCGTAATTTCAGCGAAAAGTCGAAACGCTCTAATAAATAACTACAGAAATTCATTTATACATATGCATTTATGAATACACTCAGGTATAATCGACTTCTGGAAACCATTTCAATTTCGTCTGTTTAAAATCAGACTATTGAATTTTTTCATCTTGAAAGTCGAAATGGCCCAAAAAAATTAAACTTTTTTCGAAATTGGATTTCATCTTTCAGATGTCACGGCGGAAAGACACTTCAGCAAGTGATCAATTTTCTTTTTTTATTTAAGCATATTCAATCAGATACTTAGATACAAATACATAAATCCCAACCTATACGAAGGTTACACATAAGAATAGGAGAAATTTTGACAACTATATCTCCACTCGCGAATTTTCAAGAAAAAAGAGATGCCCTTCAAGCTCTTTAATTTTCAAGAACACTTTATGGTTGACAATGTTTTAACCTAATTTACTCAGTTCAGGAAAACTGGATGAAAAGCTAAAGTTTTCATTCCACTGTGAAACCTGAAAAAGATAATGTGATTTTGAAATAGAAAACTGGTAGTTTTTTTTGCCTTTTCTGTTTTCGAAACGTGAGCATTCAATTTCCCAACTTTTAACAGATGAGAAAAAATTGAATTCAAATAAGAGGGTTGTACCTAAATGCATTCATACATGTAAATGGAGGAATGAACTTCTGTAGCTATTGGAGCATTTTCAGACTTTTTGCTGAAAACAACTACTAAACTAATGCGCTAATTGCCCAATTTCCCATTGTGGCGGGACTGGAAATCCACAAAGCACGAAAGCAACGGTTCATACGAGGGCACTTTGAATAGCATTCAAGCTATTAAATGGAGGATTACACGTTTTTTACGCAGAGCTTTCATATCAGCACTCTTTAGATGGATATTGCCTTGTTCTCTGCCCAAGTTTCAGAGCAGTACATCAGAACTGGCCGGAGACAAGCTCCGTAGATATCACACCTTGTAACTAAGTCAATATCTTTGTTCAGCACCAGGGGAGCAATTTGTTGCCATTTCGTCCAGAAAACTGCAATTCTGACCAAAGATGCACGTATTGCGTCATTTTCAATGGAAATCAAACCACCCATATAACAGAATTCTTTGACAATACTCAGGGTTTTAAAAAGAATAATTTGTAGAGTAGCATTCTCAATTGAAAGATAATTGAAAAACTATTGCATCCTGCACAAAAATTAGTATTAAGTTTAGGTAGTTTCCTTAGACTACTGCATTTTTTATGCAACCATTAGTTACGTGAATTGCAGCGTATTGAATTGGCGCCCACTCCCTTTAAACAAAAAGCGCATGGATATTTTCCGTATTTATAGGAAAAGACTTTTGGTCAGAAATCAATTGCCTAGTATTAACCACGTTGATTCTCAAACCGCAATTTTGCAAAGTCTTGTTCCAAGTAATAAACCTCTCATTTCAGCAAATATCACAAGTTCATCTGCTTATGGTTCATCCCATGGTACCATGGACCGACAGTTTTTCGTAGCCTTTTCGATTACAATTATAAATAAAAATGGGCACTCTTTGATGCACGCTTAGTTCAATTTCAAACTAAGCACTGCATCCTTGGGGACGGCGAACTCTAGTTTTCGACACGGTGTACAGGCTCATTATCAGTCGTACCAGATTTTTAGAAACTCTCTGTTGCCTTAGAGCTCATGGGATCAGTTCCCTGTGAACAGAGTCGAAAGCTTTTTCGAGATCAACAAATTTGTGACGCAGGTGTTTATCCTTTTTCGCAAGCAGTTCCTTCAATTGTCTAACAAAAACGGCATCGGTAGTTGATCTACGACCCATAAAGCCAAAGTGCATGTCATCTATTTTTATCACTTTTCTTTGACATTTTTCCAGTTTTTTTTTTTTTCAAAAAATTTTAATGCGTGTTCCAGTCATCGGATGCCTCTCTATGATCCACATTCTCACGGATCGCATTTTCCTTCGTAAAAGTAACAGTTCCCTTTGGTTTCAGTCGGAGGGGATTAGACCAGAGTCCTTCAAAAAGTCCAGCAAGTCCACAAACCCCAGCAAGTTTTGTAAAAACCGAAGTTAGCCATGTTGGTCCTGGGCTTTTCTTACTTTGATCCCTCTCAGTGCAAATGCCACTTTATGGATCCAAAGTTCATTCAATGTTCCAGCCACTGGAGGGTTATCTTCCCTTTCAAAAGGAATTGTTTCATTTACAAGATATGAGAGGTAGGTTTGCCACTGCGAGAATATCTTGATCACAAGTAAGGAGTTTTCCATCACATTTAATGAATTTATCTCCAACTTATCTTGGACAAAAATAATTAGTATTATGTTTAGGTAGTTTCTTCTGGCTACTGCATTTTTTATGCATTTATTGGTTAAAAGAATTGCAGCATATTGAATTGGCGCCGACTCCCTTTAAACAACAAGCGATTTCTAAGATAAAAAACAACAAGCGATTTCTAAGATAGAAATCTCACACAAAAAAATCTGTGTTGAGTACCACGTTCATTGCCCTTGACCACCTTCAAATTTATTGACACAACTTCTCTGCGACAATCGTGTTAGAATGAAATCAATCTGGGTGGAGTTGTCTCCATTCTTAAACGTGCAGCAATCATCTTCGCAGCGTTTGTTAAAGAAAGTGTTTAAGGCGGCTAGATTTTGAGACTGGCGAAAATTGAAATGTCTATGACCCTCTGAGTTTTGAAAACCAAAGCAATATGAGCCGATTTTGCAGGTAAGCTCCTGGTGCCACCCTCTAATATGTCCATTCAAGTCACCACACAGGAAGGTATATTCTTGGTCAGGTATAGATAACATAGTATCTTCTAACGTGTTAAAAAAGCATCCTTTTCCTAATCATCTCTAACAGATTTTGGTGCATACACAGATACATTACACACAGTATAACCTAATACAAGTTTTCGGTGCATAACACGTTCATTTACTCTCCTTACGTCCAGTACGTTTTCAAAAGTTCGACCATTGAAGGCTACTGCAACATTATTTGTGCCTTCTGATTTTTCTTGCCAGAAAAATTTAATATAGTGGGCACCAGTTCCAAAAGTTTTTGTACCGCTTCCTTTGAAACAAGTTTATTGTAGTCAGCTCACCGACAGCGCATCTTTCTTCTGTCTAAAGTTTCGCAAATCTTAAGGCATTTTCCTTTTAGTGTTCCAAGGTTTCACGGGCACAATCGGAAAGACTTTTCTGGGTGGGTTTTTTTGTCCTATACATATCAGTATGCCATATTATTAAATGAAACCGTTAGATTCTTAGCACCCTCTCCCTATTTAAGGGGCGCACGGGACTGATGGCCATTGCTTGCTTGACTTTCTGAGTTGTTTGGAGCGGTGCCCCTTTTTGAAGCATTTTCAGACCAAAGTCCTTATGGACAGGATGCCCTTCCGGACATCCACCCTCTTCCTTTTTCCGGACTTGGTACCGGCAGTTCTATCCTAGTCACAAGACAGACCAGTCGGACTTTTTCTATTTTTTCTGAAAATACGAAAAAAAAACCAACAACCCTAATAAGAATCATCACTACCTTCATCGATGTTTGTAGATAGGTTTAAAAAATTGTATCAACATTTAAGTGTCAACATGTCATCACTTCTGGACAAAAGAAGTGAAACTTTGGAATAGTAAAGACAATTGAAAAAAAATGTCAATAACTGCAAAAATCAACTCAACTTTCAGAGAAAAAGTATATCGCCTTAGAAGTGTGTTTCCAGAATTTTTTGCATGACATATTTTTGATTTTAAAATTCATTTTGAGAAAAACAGATAAGGCGCAGTTTGTATTCTCTTACAACTCTAAAAATTAAACTTCTTTTTTAAAAAGAACTGCGACGCTAGACTGCGACGTTAGGTTAGTTTATAACTCTGAATATTGTCAATTCCAAAAATGGTTAATTTTCTTTGCCCGCACTTCAAAACATATCTGAGGCGCAACTAAAATGTCTGTGCGCCTGAATTCAACAGATTACTCTTAACATTTAACTGCTGATTTGAGTCTATTTGCAATATCTCGATCGAGAAATTTCTTTGCCAGAGATAACAGAAAAACATCGCCAACAGCCAGTTGCCTAAAAAATAATAACCGCAGAGACCAAAAAAATGTTTACTTTTTGGTTAATTTCATCTTTCACTTTTCACTAAAAAAAACAGATGCCCTTAGAGCTCTTTACTATAGCTTTTTATGATTGATCACAAGTTTTTTTTTGCTAAAATTAACCCAATTTGATAAAATTGGATCAATATGTAAATTTTTCATTTCGCAGGAAAATCTCTAAGTTAAATTTTCGAAACTAGAATTCGATCAACATTTTTCGTGAACTTCATACTTTTGCTGTTCAATTAAAAAATAAAGCAACTGCACTATCGAGGAGCAAAAGTGTAAAGGTGCCAATCAGGGGCGGATTTAGAGGGGGGGGGGAGGAAGCCCCCCCCTCAGGGATTTGACCCCCTGCCGACCCAAAGGGTCCCCCTTTGATACTTTTTCAGAAATCCATTTTTGGCCGACTGACCCTAAAATTTTTTTTAAGGCGCCTTTGGCGCCAATATATGCTATTTTTGAGGGGGAGCGCGCGCCAAAAAAACGCATTTTTTTTGTCAAAATTTTTCAAAAAAGGGCCCAAAAACGGCTTTTTTGACTGTTTTTTCAAAAATTTGCCTGCAGCGCAGAAAATTTAGCCAAAATAGGGGCAAAACAGTGCTTTGGGAGAGCTCGAAAAATCAATTTGGTCGACCTAAAAAAAAAAAAGGTCGTCAAAATTTTGGAAAATTTTTTGAAAATCCGCCCCACCTCTCGAGAAAATCCTAGATCCGCCCCTGGTGCCAATCACCTCCTTCATTTACCTTCAATTGATTCCAATTCTTTTAACTTTCAGCACATATCATAGCCAGGAATGGAAAGCACAATCATCACTTTGTAGACCACCTAAGCATCTTGCATTAAAAAAGTATTTTGACAAATATCTCTTGAATACGCTGAGAATCAATTTTTAAATTATAACTAGCGCCTCCTATTCACAACTTTTTTACAATCTCTTAATGCTTTATGATACAAAATGTATACTCACTGTACATATCATTGATACTGAGCTAAGCGATGAAAACCTCTAAACAATATATACATTTATCATGTCGATAATCTACAAAATGAGTTTTCAGGTTTTAGTTCACATTATTGTGTGCAAGATAGAGCTGAGATGATGAAATGTGCTTCAAAAAAGTGTGACCTTGTTTACTGGATAGAACACGCATTGCTATTGGACGAGTCTCCTGAGCCTGTGGCTGTATTTGATTGGCTGCTCGGGTTTGCTGCCCTGTGATTGGCTGAATGAGGCACATGTGGCTGTTCTCTCTGTGGATTTACACTGGCTGCGATAGCCGATTGCGACTGCTCAATTGTCGCCCTATCTAGCTTCACCTTGAGTATTGCTGCTGTTATCTAGAAACAAACAGATCTCTTGAACACGATGATATCTAGTAAAGAATAACCACTGCAATAAAATATAAACTCAACGGTGGAACAAAAGCGAAAACATTGTACCTCTTTATTTACAACCCCCCTCTCCCACTTTGCTGAAGGGGGGAATAGTGAAAAAGATTCGAACAAGCTTTTAATAATTAGATTCAATTACACATTTATAAAAAGTGCTACACAATTTACTTGGTGTTACAAATAATTTTTTAAAAAGCGAGCCTTCAAATTGCGGTTAAAAATTAGTCCTCAGATGGCGCTGAAGAAAGTGAGTCTTCAGATGGCGCTGAAAAAAGTGAGTCTTCACATTGCGCTTGAAAACTGCGCGCATCGAACATATTGTGGAAATTTGTTTCAAACGGCAGCAGCATTAGAAAAGTTTCCTAGATATATTTTGTTCTTCCTCAATGAATTGCGATGAATTGGCATAAAGTAACCTCAAAAAACTTGGAAACAAGAATAATCTGTTCGTTCATTGATAAAATTTCAACAAGAAAAAATTTAAGCTTCTGTTGTTTCTTTTGATTTCAATATTCTCAACTAAAACTGCCATACTCTAGGGCTAAACATTCAATCTCAATTTCGATGATAGGAATTTAATTTTCTCCGCAGTAAGGCTCTTCCTAAAGAGCCCCGAACACATATTTTAAGAGACTGATATTTTTTTCGATGATGATCACGGAGAACCTCAACGACCGTCTGAAGGCTACGTACTAGTGACTGTCGTCGGCATACTTGTGTTTTGGCACTTTCATTTCTCTCAATACATCACCAACACAGAGCAGATCAATAATGAACAGCAGAGATCCAAGTACGGCACCTGATGTAACCCTTTTATTCATTTTCCACGCTCACATATTACAAGGTCAGTTCTGTCAGTCAAACAGTTGTAAAACCAGGTGAGTGCTTTGCCTCTAATCTTTTAAGCAAAATTGAAAGCATAGAACTGTGATACAAAGTGTTGAAGGCACAGCTGAGGTCAATACAAACTAAAATCACGTTTTCTCCTCTATCAATCATTCCGGCTATCTCAGATGTGACTTTCAGAGGATGATTTGACGAGTAATTTAGTTTTTTCCGCGTTAAAAGCAAGTCCTATAGAGCCGGACGCATCATTTAACTGATTGATAAGTTAATCGAAGTTTAAAAAATCTATACTATTTGTTTAGGACCAAAAACAGACTGCAAATATTATGTTCAGACTATTTTCAAGGCTACACTTTGCATACACAGACGGAAAAACAGCAGAAAGATATTTACCACTCTCGCAGTACAAATTTTGCCCATTTTTTGCCAAAAAAAACTACAGCTGATACGTTGAGAGGCTGTTCAGACCTCCGCCTGATACGAGCAGTCTTGTTTTCTTTTGAAACACATCAAAAGTTGTTATAGTGTAACTCAAATTGATATGATGAACACTTGGTTCCTTAGATTATAACGTCAAACAGACTGCGACGTTTTATTCGATTTTATTTGAGAAAACTCAAGGAAAGGACTTTTTTTTCTGAAGTAAGTTTATAACTCAGTCAATGCTAAAACTGTATATAATTTTGTCAATGCTAAAACTGATTACTTTTTCTTGCTTGAAATTTTCTTGAGTAATCAGTTCAATTTAGGCGCACAGACATTTTTTCGATCTATCGTTCGAGAAATCTCCTTCCCGGCGACAATAGGTAAAATTTTCATTTTCCAGGGAAATCAGAAAATTAATTTCATTTTTCGAAACTAGAAGTCAATCACGTCTTTTGTGACATTTACACTTTTGCTGTTCGATAGCGGAGGCTGCCTTACTTTTAAGAAACGAAATGAACTGAAGTCAAAACGCGCAAAAGTAAACTTAAGCCTGAACATATTTTAAGACTTAAGACAAAAAAAACATCTCGATCTATATAAAAGTCAGAATTACGTTCATCGACTCTTTAAGGGGGAAAGAGGGAGAGAGAGAGAAAGAGTTGGATGGGGGAGAGATTGAGAAAACGGTGTCTTACTTTCTTGATCATGAGCTGTATGCCGTCTGCCCTGCTGGCACACACTAGGTGGCTGGACATGCAGTGCTCACTGGCGAATCTGTGGTGTCTCTCTGGACTTATGGCCACCATGTGCTGCAGATCCACTTTGTTGCCCACCAGGGCAAAGTGACACGACGTCTTCTTCATCTCTCTTATTTCTTCTCCTCCTCCAGCGCTGGGTTTGGGTTCCGAGTCTCCCTCACTCTTTTCTGAAATACAACTTCTACTTAATCTTGTTTACATTAGTTCATTGAATCATAAACTGCTTTACAGCGCTGTTGTATTTCTGTTCATCTCTAAACAGCACTGGTAGCAAAAACTTGAGCCATTTTCTCAATTTTGTAACCATCTAAAAATACCGCAAGTGTACCATGAAAATATCAACTTGAATTATAGCACCGACGTCCTGCGTCCAATGTATTCAAAATCAACGCAAACAATCACCTGCGTTTATATGTTATCAAGAAAAGAAGCCTGAAGAATTTAATAAGAAAAACGACTAAGACGATTTATCCCTTTTGGAGAGGACCCACATTCGCGCTTACTGAGTATGTGGCCTCCAAATTGTCGCAGGCGGTTAGCGCACTTGTGCATCTATACATATGCAACAAATTTCAAGGACTTGTACATCTAAATGCATACTAGGACCGAGGAACAGAAACAGTTCTTATCTATAGTTCTTATATGTATTTGTAGATAATTCGCGTCTCAGCCCGATTGTGGGCATCAATTTTCCGAATTAACCGAGTAAAAAATTGGCAAATAACTTCAGAAACGGCCATTAAAAATCAATTTCCCGGAGGCCGAGGAACAAAAGCTGTCGTAGGACGAAATCTGTTTTACCCAGATGTGTTATCCCAGATGTTTTACCTACCAGTGGTGAAGATTGTTTCAGCAAAAAAGACATCGCCCCAAAAAGAAAGAAGCAACCCCGTTATCCTTTTAGGGAAGGGAGGGGTCTGGTCTTAGCCGGGCCACACTCCTCTTTAAACAAACAGAAGGCAAACAAACGGGCCCCAACGCCAGTATCTCTGTGTCAAAGTTGGGTAAAATGCGTCTCTAAAACTAACCTAGCTAGACACCAGAGGTGCTGCAGAGGACCCGGGCTAACCTATATGAAGGTGGACGCCGGAAAAGGAAAGGACAAAATCTGTTCGCAAATGTGAAAAAACCCTGCAATTTCATTTCGTCAATTTATGAAAAATAACAAAAGAAAGTCAATATTTCTGAAATAACTACTTTTTGGTTAAAATTTCGTCTTTATAAAACAGAATTGAATTTAAAAAATCCGATTGATTTTTTCTTTTAATAAAGTAATTGATTTTTACATCTCTGTTCCACACACCTTGTTGTTCGTGGACAGAAGAGGATGTTTCATCTCTAGTGTTGCTGGTTGTGGCTGCTGTGATGTCACTGGTAGCAAGTACATTATTGGCCACCTTCATCCAGTCCTCCAGGTCATCGAAGCTCTGCTGGTTTGTGACGTCATAGACGAACAGGATCCCTGACAAACGACGGAACAACAGATATAGAGAGATTTCAACTTTTCAATATCAACTTAAGGCACACTCGCACACAAGGCTCGCGTTACGTTTTTCATGTTTATTCGGTACTTCATCATTATTTTGCAAACTAGTTTTTCCAAATGGTACTCTATATTTTAAAAAAAAACAATCTTTCTTATATCCATTGACCTAATCAAGCTTCGTTAAAACTACGAATTACGAAAATCAACTTCAAATAAAATAATCTGATTATTGTGACATTCGACCAGAATGTGAAAAATGCAATCTCTGCAGAATTCGGAATTTTAGCAGTAAGCCTTCCGGATTGGTGGTTTTTATGAACTAAGGGCGTTATTGGAACGTTTAGCCAAACGGTGAAGGCTGGAATATTCTAGTATTTTAAAATTTCAAAAATTCGAATGATGACGTCACATTTCTGAGAAATGCTGAAACGGCCATTTTTAACAAAAAACGAGTGAAAAAAGGAGAACAACAACGTTAGTTGCGCTGACGAGAACAACTTGATCGAAATTGAAGAAGTCGAAATTGAAGAAAAACAGCAGCAGAGTGCAGAGAACGTTCCGAGTTGCAACTATTGTGCTGCTACAATAGTTGCAAGGCCGTTGCGAACAACGGTGAAGTGTAAGAAATCAGCCCTCCGTGTTATCGTGAATTCGAACTTAAGGAGCTTGATTCACTGGATTCAAGAATCCGGAAGGGTCTCGGGACGGAAACTTTTATTAACTCATATGAACTTTTAGCATCCTGTCATGTTCTGACTTGAATTTAACTGATATTTGAATTAGTTTTGACAGGGATGAGGTGCTAAGAGTTGGGGGGGAAAGGGTTGATCCATCTTCGATGGAGATGATGATTTTTATCTACTGAACAAAAACAATAGTAATATAATAAATAGTAGCCCTGTTTTTAGGAGTGACCTCGTGGTCTGGGGATACTGAGACCCAGCCATGAGCTCACTATTTTTGCATGTAATTCAGTTAATTTGAGCGTTCTGGTCGAAGCCGGAGAACAGTAACGTTTTTGTCGACCCGATGTTAGAAAAGACCACCGAAAAGTACTGGCTTGGTAGAGACGGTGAAAAACATGCAAAGCTCTGTTTAGACGCTAGCCAGTCGTCTTAAGACTTAGTTTTGTTATCCGTCGATATGTATCTTCCGGGCGAATGTTACATGTATGTTTTTATGGCGCTCCTGGGTGTTATTCTTTCATAACATCATGACCGGCGGAACCGTTAACGAGCACTCCGCGCCGAGCGGATGCTCACATTAACGCCCTTAATAGGCCTAAACTGCCGGGGCGGAAGGGTAGTTCGGAACGCGGAAGCCTTCCGGATTACCGTGAATAGTTTTTTAACCTAGTTAAGACCGAAAATTCACGAACCAGGAAGGGTGGGGGGAATCATGAACCCCTCATCCCCTGAGTGGTTTGTGACCAAAAACACTTAAAGATATAAGCAAAACCAAACAAAAAGTAGTATAGTACCCAAGAAAAACAAAAAACATAAAAAATAACCGAAAAAACCAAAAACAGTAAAAAAAAAGTAAAAAATCAGTAGAAATCATCCCCCCAGACAAGATGTGATTCAACCCCCCCGTTTGTTGTTGATAGATATATTGTTGTTACAGGCATTTATATCAGTCAGGATCGTTACGATCAATTTTGTGGCCCGTTTGTGAGGCTTGTACTGTAGGGTTATTTGAGCATTTAAGCACGTTAATGATAAATTGCGCTCAATCCGGAAGGGTCAGCTGATTTGCGCTCAATTCGGAAGGGTCCTGGGTGAAGACCGATCCGGCAAGCAGTACAAGGAGCAACAAGAAGGGGCTCAACGACAACAACAATCGACTGTTGGGTATCGTTAACAAGTTTTGTATCCCTTTTGGTACAAAAAGTAAGATAGTAATCTGTGGGGGGCTCGACAGTGCTGCACTGTAGTGACCCTTCACCGAACTGCGAATATCCGAGTTAAGCACCTTAATTCGGATAATAAACAAACCCGGAGGGGTATAGTATTACTAATATTATTACTTATATAGCCTATATTAATAGTCTTATATCGTTTTTCAGTGAAAAACAACGAAGACAGACCGGTTTTTAGGGTCAAAATAGCGATATTTTGATCCCCCCACAAGTCGCGATTTTTGAGATATCGATATTTTTTGAAACGGAAAAAAGCGCTAAGTTAGTGTGTTACATCGTAACTGCACTACTGTAATAAGTAGAACCGGTTAACTTTAGTTCGGAAGTGGTTGGAACTAGTTTGGTACCAAAAACCAAATTTTCCCATTTTTTGATAGTAAGAAGCACTATAAAATCAGAAAATTTTTTGAAATCTTTGAGTTAGGACAGTAAAAATAGTTGTTCGGACAACGTCCACTAGTGAATCTACGAGTTTTAAAACCCGCTACCCGAAAGCCTTCCGGGTTGCAGAGAAATCGAACATAACGTGTTTGATTTGGTGGATTCATCAATCCGGAGGGGTCCAGGTAGCATAGTTTTTCGCAAATTTTTTCTACAAAAGCGTTTTAGATCGGGTCTTTTGCATTGAACTAGAAGAGTATAGGCCTTCTGAGCTCAGATCAATAATTTTTAGGTCGAAAGGACCAGATTTGCGGAAAAAGTTAGGCGGAACCTATAAGAGAGAAAATTTTTGAGTTTGGAAAAAAGACGTTTTGGTTAATAACTTTGGAACTACAGAGCATATCGAGTCAATCTTGGTACCATTAGATCAGAAATTAGCTGAACTTACTAGTAGGAAAGAGAATTACTCGAAAAAGCGAGCGAGAAAATTTTTTGAGATTGTTTTTAGCAAATTACACAAATCCGGAGGGGTACACCCTTCACGTTTTATAAATTTTTCTGAAAAACCCTTATACCCCTACCAAAAGTTGATAGCGATTGAACTAAGTAACTTAGGACAGTTCTAGACAAAAAGGGAGGGCTGAAGGCACAAGACAACCATAATAGAGTCGAAATTAGGCAAGTGATAAGACCCTTCACCGTTAGTGTGAATTGTCAAATAAGTGCCTTAACTTCAATCCGGAGGGGTCTAGGAAAGGACCCTATACCCTTCCCAGTTAATTCTAAACAGCATAAAAGCAACGCAGAACGTATCCGGAGGGGTACAAGCTGAAATTAAGAAAACTACGAAAAGCTACTTTGACAGAGCTAAGGGCTCCCAATCCGGAGGGGTCGAAGTTTTTCAAAGTCAGAGGGGTCCGAATCCGGAGGGGTCTCTTTTCCACAAAACCGGAGGGGTCCGAATCCGGAGGGGTCTTATAGTTGCTAATTCGGAGGGGTCCAAACCCGGAGGGGTCTACTATTAACTAACTCGGAGGGGTCCCAATCCGGAGGGGTCCATATTCTGACAGTCCGGAAGGGTCCTATTTGTGCCAATCCGGAGGGGTATTATTTTATTAAGGACTTAGGTAAACGAAAGAAAGACTAAAAAGCGAGAGGTATTAGGTTATTAATACACAGGCTAGGTATCAGTGACTGCACTGGTAACTTGCCTTTCAAAAAGAACCAGACTAATACAAAACAGGTCCGAACTCGGATATTCGCGACACTAAGTCTAAATTAAAAAGAGCGTGACTCATTGGTGTGGATTGAAACATAATACGTTTTTGGGAAAAGTGACTGCCCTGAGGATTTTAGTAGGTCTAGCTCGGGCAGTCCGAAGGCAGATAGGTAACACAATACTCGGTGGGTGCAATAGACGCCCACTTGAGCAAATAACTGCCTTCAAAGTTTTGTCTGTTTGGTGCAGCACCAAGCCGGGAAAGCTTTTTCTTTAAAAGACAGGTTCGACTATTGTACAGCGACCGACTAAGAGTACAAGACACATACATTTTTTTAATATATACATTCATATTGTGTCAATATATATTTTTTGTTTTTGATTTTAAATCAACCTAAACTGTGCTTGATTGGGTAGTGAGTACACTATCTTTTAAAATTGACTGATAACATCATATTGTGCTAGTTTCCAGATCTTTGGACCGATAATCGGCTAGTGTGAATAAATTTTATACAAACTGTACTCTGACAACATACAGGGATTCGTGGTCACTATTTAGTAGAATCTGGTGAAATTTATTGTGTTGTGTCATTATTATTGTTAATAAAACTATAAGGTCTCTAGCAATTGAGTCAAGAGTGGGCATAGGAAAGTGACAAATAAAGAATGAGTTTAAACAAGTCAAGGATACCAAAACGAGGTAATAGCTCTAGGAAATTCATACCTGAAAAGCAAAGAAAAACGATGACCGAGCCTTTTGTGGATTGGATCAAGCGATCCCGGTCCGATAAAGAGGAGACGGTTTCAGGCAGAATGGTTGAAACGAGAAGTCAGAAGACCTCAGAAGAGCGAAGAGAACTGTTAGAAGTTGAGGTCAATACGGACCATACCATGAACGACAACCAGGGAGTAAATGGACTGGAAGGGAGAGGCAGAAGGCTGGCGAGTGAATCTACTCCGGTAGAACAAGGCCATGATTTTGCCACTTCCACCGGGACATTGGATCGAGAGGAGATGTCGGAACTGTCCGACATCTCAACTGAAGTAACGGCAACTAGAAGATCTCCGACAGACGACAACACTATGATGGCAAGCGGAACTGGGAAACAAACAACCTCATCATCGTTCTCAGAAAGAATGAAGAACACCTTCGGAAACATCTTTCCATTCAGCATGGGAGGAGGAACAGGAAACGATGGTGAGTCCCAGGAGGAAGAGGATGAAGAGGAGCAAGGGGACTTTGGATCTCAAGTCAGCCTCAATAGTTCGATCCAGGAGAGTGAGGCACACGTCGGAAGAGAGACTGGAACCATGGACAAATTTGGTGTAGTGACAACGATAAGCAAAGAGGCAAACACACCAGGCCAGTCAAAGGACTTCGCGATTAGGACAAGTTCGGAGCCACAACCTGAAGAGAGTAGAACCAGAGGGCTTGACAACGCGTTAATCGATCCTGAA